GTCCCCAACGTGTCCCCAATGTGTCCCGGTGGGACCCCATTGGGATCCCAGATGTCCCCCAGATGTCCCTTCGTGTGTCCCCACCATGTCCCCAATGTGTCCCCAGCTTGTCCTGGTGGGACCCCATTGGGATGCAAGTGTGTCCCCATGATGTCCCTTCATGTGTCCCCACCGTGTCCCCAACATGATGCCCCTGTGATGTCCCTTGGAGTGTCCCCACCGGTGGCCCCGGTGACATCCCCAGGGGTGGCACCAGCGACGTCCCCAGCGTGTCCCACAACGTGTCCCCACAGCTGGTGGCCTCAGCACGTCCCCAAGGCACATCCAAGGTCCCCTTGGTGGCCTCGGTGGCAGGGAGGGGACATCAGTGACAGCTCGAGGTCCTCCAGGTTTATTGGGTGTCACCACGGAGGGGACGTCCCTGTGTCCCCAAGAAGGAGAAGGGACCTCGCTGGCATCCAGGGACATCCAAGGACCATCCTGGTGTCCCCAAGGCGGCCAGGGGACACCCAGGTGTCCCCAGTGTCCCCAGCACGGCCAGGGGACACCCCGATGTCCCCAAGGTGGCCAGGGGACATCTGGACGTCCCCAATGTCCTCAGCATGGCCAAGGGACACCCGGATGTCCCCAGTGTCCCCAGAGCAACCAAGGGACACCCGGATGTCCCCAAGGTGACCAGGGGACACCCAGATGTCCCCAATGTCCCCAAGGTGGCCAGGGGACACCCAGAAATCCCCAAAGTGACCAAGGGACACTCAGACATCCCCAGTGTCCCCAAGGTGACCAGGGGACACCCGGATGTCCTCAATGTTTCCAGCATGGCCAGGGGACACCCCAATGTCCCCAAAGTGACCAGGGGGCACCCAGACATCCCCAAGGCAACCAGGGGACACCCAGATGTCCTCAATGTCCCCAAGGTGACCAAGGGGCACCCGGACATCCCCAAGGTGACCAAGGGACACCCAGATGTCCCCAAAGTGACCAAGGGACACCTGGACGTCCCCAGTGTCCCCAAAGTGACCAAGGGACACTCGGACGTCCCCAAGGCAACCAAGGGACACCAGGATGTCCCCAAAGTGATTAGGGGACACCCGAACATCCCCAGTGTCCCCAAGGTGACCAAGGGACACCCAGATGTCCCCAAAGTGACCAAGGGACACCTGGACGTCCCCAGTGTCCCCAAAGTGACCAAGGGACACTCGGACATCCCCAAGGCAACCAAGGGACACCAGGATGTCTGACCAAGGGGCACCTGGACGTCCCCAGTGTCCCCAAGGTGACCCGGGGGCACCTGGATGTCCCCAATGTCCCCAAAGTGACCAAGGGACACCCGGACATCCCCAAGGCAACCAAGGGACACCTGGA